AAGCCTAAAATGCCTCCAAAAGCACGGTTTACGCGAATGCAAAAATTACGCTTTGAACACACAATTTACGCTAAAAATCCGAAACAAAAACAAAAAATTTAGATGGCAAAACCGTCAAGTTTCTAACCAAAATTATTTGACAAGAGTCCATGTACACAGCGATATGTTTTAACTTCAAAAAACATCTACGAATTGCACAATTTAGGAAACAAATGAATCTACGAACTATGCACACCTCACTTTAATAAATTAACATAACAACAATAAATTTCAAAGAATACCATGTACACAGCTTCCTGTTTCAACTTAAAAAAACATCTATGAATTGCACAATTTAGGCAACAAACGAATCTGCGAACTATGCACACCTCACTTTAATAAATTAACATAACAATAAATTTCAAAGAATACCATTTATACAGCGTTCTGTTTCAACTTTAAAAGACATCTACGAATTGCACAATTTAGACGGTATGCACTAATCAACAAAATAACTAAAATTTCAAACAATAAAAAAAAATAACAATAACGACAGAAATTCATGCTAAAAAAACAATGAACATAACATTCTACAAAATAAGAACAAGAATAAAATAAAATGCACTTACCATGAAATGCTTTTTCGAACAGCAGAAATACCAATTTCATACTGCCACGTAATCACTATCGGATTTATATGACAGCCAGACACACTATCCAGAAAATTCATACTATGGTTCACAAATAAATAAAATAACAAATAATCACAAATCCTTGCTTCTATCATGCACAGCCACTAAAAAATAATCTCCCAGACCCTCTTTCCACACCTCCAAATACCCACTGCTCCTCAACAGGATGGCCACGACGATATTTCCTTTTGCCGAACTTCAATTCAACAACTTCCACCACTTTATCTTTTCCTCCTAGCTTCTCAGACACAAAGCATAACGCAAACCAACGAACTCCAGCGAAAGATTTTTCAACTTTAACAGAGTTGCGATCCAACACGCAATCACGCCAAAAACCAGCGCAGAACGCATATCGCCGCATTTGGTGAAATTAGGGCGTATATCAGAGTTGTACCAATTTTATTATTCATCTCTTCGAATTCTTCAGATTTCAAATGGAATGGATATGTCCGTTTCGAAGATGAATGTTGGTATTGGTATTGGAATAAAAAAATTGCCCTTTCAGACCTTATTTTGGCCAACCTGGCTTTCCTAACCAAAGATTTATTTATAAATTGTTAATAGCGTCAGAGAAAATTTATTTTAAATTTTTGGAGAAAACCTTGCTAATTGCTTCTGCAAATGAAGTGCGAGAGATGTGGATCACAGATGAAGATCGTTTTTTTTTTTTTTTTTTTTTTTTTTTTTTTTTTTTTTTTTTTTTTTTTCTGGTACTTATCAATATACAAGAGGTAAAATACTTTAAAACAATGTAAGTACATAATTTTCTTTTACTTTATAATTGTATACTTCAACTTTAATTAAAAAATTAATACAATGTTTTCAAAAATTCCTGAGATACTTATTGCCACATATATTTTAATGTTAAATAATTAAATCCTATAAAACTTATTTTAAAGTAATATTTTAATTCTTTTAAAAGTTGGTATGATGTTTTTAATTCAATATTCAATTTAAGCAATATTTTAATCCAATTAAACGTTGGCGCAATGTTTTTATAGCGGTGTTTTTATTCTACTATATGAAAGTAATAATTTAACCTTACTTTAGCAGTTTATACTCTTAGTAAATGTATTTATTTACATTTGCCAGCCATCTTAAAAAAAACAAAGTTTTCAACAAAAAATTCATTATTTTTAACGATATTTATTTTTTTAAAGTTTCTAATACTTTACTATATGCGTAAAATACGTAAAAACAGCATTTTTTAAGCATTTTTATTAAAAAAAAACTGTTTTTAAGATATTGAAAAGTTTTGAGTGATTTTTTTAGAAAAGTTCTTAACCTCCTTTATACCATTTGAGTTCTTAAGATTTTGCAAAGGGAAGTTGGTTAATTTATTTATTAGGATAATTAATATTTGTATTAAGGGATATTGCTTATTTCATTGAAATTTTGTTGTACGTAATAACTTTTTTTATGAAGTTCTTCTGCAGAGTAAAATTCTATGCAGTTTTTAAATTTAACGTTTGGTGTTCCCTTCAGCCATTTTTCCGGTACATTTAAAAGCCAGACGAAGGCTGGCAGCAAAGCTGCTAGTGTTTAAATATGAAACAGCAGCTGGTTTTAAGAAATTTAAAGAACATGTTGCCATGTTATTAATATGCAGTATGAATGCGACAATTAAAAAGATGCCAATGGTTACTGGAAAGATTAGAAAATTTCAGTGTTTAAAAAGAATCGTGAATTTAACTTACCATAATAACAAGGAATCACGGATGACAAGCAGTACTTTTACTGATTTCTTTTTGAAATGAGATAAAGAACTGAAAAATTAGTTAAGATAACTGTGCATAATTAGTTAAGATAACTGTGCATACAGCACAGTTAAAGTTAAGATAACTGTGCATACAGCACAGTTATCTCTCTGACATCATTCTGAAAAATTAAATTAGTGTTTCTTCCAGCAAATATAATTTCTATCATTCAGCAATTTAATCAAATTATGAAAGCTTTCAAATGTAATTACAGAAAAGGTGTTGTTCAAAAATTTATAAACAAAATGGAATCTTGTGAAAATGAACTTAGAACACTTTGAAAGAGATAACCAAGTCCATATATTTGCTAGAGGCTATGCATATTATAAACAACACATGGGAAGCAGTCTCCCCAAATGCAGCTAGAAATTGTTTTTGAAAATGTGTTTTTTATTTAGAAGCCACAGAATAATTATAAACTATTTATAATATTTTGGAGATCATTGAGAGAAATATGAAGGTTCATTTTTAGAATGTGTTGCACTTTATGATAATATTGAGACATGTAAAAATGACTTTTAATATTATAAAAATATAAAAAAAGCTGTAGAAACTGACAGTGAAAGTGTTATGGAAGAAAGGTAACTTCATGCCAGCCTCAGCTGAATTGAGAAATCACTGCAGATTCTATGAAGAACTCTTGAATTGAAAGGTGAAGATCAGAAAAGATACCAAGAGTTTTACAAACTTGAAAATGCAATTGAAAGACTATTGACAAACAGTGTGAAACAAATATAGAGTGGTTTTTTGTAAAAGTTTAAAATTTCATCAGGCATGTAATAATAAAATTTTTTTATTAAAAAATAGTTTTAAGTTTTGTAAGTAGTTTAATTTTTAGCATTAATTCTTAATAATTAATTTAGATATTAATTAATACATAAACTGTTACTATCTTATTAAATAAGATCCAAAGTTAATACTATAATTTGCAATATTGAAATCACCATGCATTAAATTTGGAACGGATGCAATTTTAATAAACCGCAGGTACTGTAAGTTTTATTTTCTTTAATAATTTAAATGTTATCTCAATGATTGAAAGTTTGTGAAAATAATCTAAACTATTTTTTTAAAAGTTTGGATAATGTTAATCACAGTTTTTCAGATGTAGATCCAAAATGCTGTGTAAATGAGCGGATTAAATTTTAAAATGTATATATGCATCACTTGAAATAATTTTTTAAATGAAAGTATATTCTGTGACCAATAGCTGCAAAAGTAAAGGCCACATAAGGACTTCTATGGACACAGTTATATTTTGTTTCTTGCAAGTTAACATTTTGTTGTAAAAATACATACAGTACAACTCACATTATCCGAAATCTGACTATCTGAATCCCTTTCAAAATTTCTCAGAAATAACTGAAGAAGAGAAAGGAAGGGGAAGAGACAGGAGAAGATGAGGATGATGTGTCACCTGAGGAATTAAGAAACATACTTGTGAAAACTCTTGGATGTTCAGAAGTTAGTGTTGAGGGATACAGCAGAATGGATGGTGTGTGATTCGTCAGACCCTGGGTTTCAAATTCTAAATGATGATAAACTTATTGAAAGGGTGAGAGAAGAAAGTGTCAAGGAATATGACCTTAATGTCAAAGTTAAAGCACACAGGGGACCATCAGCTAGTGAAACGTTTCCCGGCCTTGAATTGAATAGAGCATCAGCCCGAGTGTGACCACATACAACTTTTCATTGTCATATGGATGTGTGACTTGGCCGCCTGAAAACGGTCAAACAGCTTGCTTTGACCAAGTTGTTCAGCAAGCAATGACTTTCAGCACTTGTAAATACTCTACACTACGCTATATAATGTGTACATAAAAGTGTTGCTTTTTCATTTTAACTAATTAGAACCTCTTTTGCTTCAAAAATAGTTTTTCCCCATTTTTAACATAGAGTACATACAGTAATTAATTAAAATGTATGCAGACCCTTTCTTTGGAAAAAATTCAATTATCCGAATGAGGTCCAGTCCCAATTGATTCGGATAATTAGAGTTCTACTGTATAAAATTATGAACTACTGATTTATAAAATTATGAATTTTTATTACTTTTTTTACCTTCATTTTTTGGTCATCAATATTTTGCAAGATAGCATTATAATTGAAATAAAAAATATTTACAAATTAATAACTTAATTTTCTTCACGACTTAAATAAAAAGTTTAAAATTAAATTTTGAACTTTATTTTCTGTAAAACATACTCCAAAATTACATGGACACGCACAGAACAGCCATGCAATTAAGGCATCTTCAAATTATAAACTAGTAAATAAAGCATCTACAAATTTCATAATTTTTAAAATTGATATGTTCAGATTATCTTTTAATGATGGTATCGTAAACAGCTGAACTCATTCGAGTTTGAAAAAAAAAAAAAATAGGTTCCATGTTTTATATTTAATACTTAAGAATTAATTTTTGCGCATCTCATGTAAAATTTAAGCGAGATGACCAATTCTTTAGATTCATATCCAGTATTAGTATATGCAGAAAATATATATAAAAAAGTCTGGATTAAATGATGAAGTGAAGTAAAAATATCAATAGTATTTTTTTAAAATATTTCATAAAAACATTTTTTGAATATGATCTTTATTAATGTTTTATATCACTCATTTATAAAAATAGAATAAATGAAAAATATTTCAATTTTTCCTTGAAGGAATATGTGATAATTAAAATGAACTTGCAGAAAAAGTATATATAAAAGTAATGGATTGAAGTCAAAATTGTCATATCGTTAGATTAAACCATTCATATTAAGTAAAATTTGAGTGTTTTAAATTAAAAACTTGTAACACCTAAATACATATTTAAATGAATTCTCATATCAAAATATTAATCAAATCATTTAGTTCATATAAACTGAATACATGTATGTATTCAGTTTATATGAATCCATTTCAATACCAGTCTTCATTGCTCTAAACTTAGCCTGAATTAGATAATGTTCTCTCAAATCAGATCATGTTTCTGATTCATCTGTTAAATATTCATGATTCCTTAGAGCTCTGGTGATCCCCTAGAATTATTACTGATCAAGTCCACAGCAGAAGATTCACTACAAAACACTGAAACTGATGCCTCATCTTCATTTTCACTGCTAGAACATTCGGAATCAGAAACGAATGCTTGTTTCTTTTTCCTTCTGACCACTGCTACGGGGCTATCAGTCTCACTGTCACAAAGAGTTCCTTGAGAGGAAAATATTGGTGAAGCAGCTACAGCTTTGGCAAATGGAGTTTCTTCTTCAGAATTAAACTTTTTTGTTATTCTAAGTGGTGTTATCCTTTTAATAATATCTTCAGTTGGTGTGGAGATACCACAAGATACAAAGCTGGAATGAGAGTCAGAATAACACTTGCTTTGTTCAATTTGTTTTGACCTATCAGTTTGCATTTGTGTAATAGACTGTATTTTATTTATCGTAGCTGGAGTATTAGGTAATGAACTGGGAACTACAGAGTTATCTAAGCTATCATCATCAGTGACAGCAGATATCCCAAATGAATTATGAAGTGAATCATCAGCAGAAAATTCATTTTCACTTTCAACAACAAGGTTTTCAGCACTGGTATTAGCACTTGATGGGCATGATGTTTGCTGACTGCTGTCACTTTCAGGTATAATTTCAATAGGTCTGTAAGAAGAGATAAAAAATGCATAAAATTAAGGCATGCAGTCTTAGCAATTACCAATTGAATATTTTAGAATGCATATATATTAAAACTTCAGACATTGATACCAAATGGTACTCCAGCCCATCCATATATTCAGAAAATTTTTGTTTAATGTTTTATTTCAACAAAAATTATATACCGTATATGCCAGCATAAAAGAAGCAATTTTTTTTTTTTAATTAGGTATGAAAAACGGGGTGTGTCTTATACATCGATACTCAGTTTCTGATTACATTCATTTCTGGAAATTTCCTCTATTAAGTGTTATGCGATTTTTTTTCCCTTGCAGAGTGTAGGAATATTACAGTTATGTAGAGCTTGGTGAATGCGCATACACCGTCATCGACAATCACAGCTGGGTTCGTTTAAACTTCTAACTTTTTAACGACTTTTAGTACGTTAGATTTCTACTGTTCAGTTTTCTTAAATTTGTTGGCAAGTTATGGCTCAAAACAATGTCGGCATTTCTATAACATAGCATACAAGCTAAGTATGCTATCGATTATGGTCGAGGCACCCTGGCGGACTGTTGAAGAAACCTGCCCTACTAGTATCGGATCAGTTTCGTTCTCAGAGAACAGATATTAAAAATAAACTGAAAGGATTGAAAACTCAGGTGTCTGGGTTTTGATGAAGAAGATTAAAAGGTGTTCCTCCCCAGATAGATTTTGTTATTTGTGGAAAGTATTACTTTGTATTTGCATTACTTTATACTTAAAATACTGTAAATACATTATAATGATCAGTAATAAAGTTTTATCTTTCAAAAATGTGTATAAAAAAGGGGTGCATCTTATACGGCGGCAAATACAGTGATTAAAGAATTTGTTTTATTTCTGTAAAACAAGACACAAAACACATTTTATAAATAAAATTCAACTATATATTGTTACGAAATATACAGGCTCGGTGAGATAGCTTCCCCCACAAAGCAGTTTTGGGGTTGCCACATTTGACAAGAAATCGCCCATTTGGAGACAAAATTGGCGATATACCATGGATGGTTGGAGAACCTTCTGGAATGAATTCTTACTGGTTTAGCCCAGAATGTTCTCTAACACAGGCCGAAAGCTATATAAGCCCTCCTGGTCCGCAGTCAGTCAGTGTGTGTCTCTCATCGTGTGTGTGCCTCGTCTAGAGTGCTAGTTAGTTAGTATCGAGTTGGTGTCTCGTCTAGCGAGTCAATCCCTGCGGAGTCAATCGACTTGACAGCCGGGCAGCGAGTGGGTCATCCAGTGCACCAAAGGGGTCTGTTAGTGCATCGTCAAGAGAGCGTGTTGAGCTACGAGAACGACTGAACCGAAGAGTCGGGAGCTTGTGTGTCATCGAGTGCGTTGCGAGTTGTAGCGTGGAGAGTCTCGAGAGTACGTGAAGTTCCGAGAACGACCAAGCAGAGTCGGGTGTTTTGCAGGAAGCTGTCTCCACCATTATTGCCTGACAGTGTGAAGGCTGTGTTGCTGATTGTTCCAGCGTGTTTATAGTAGATCTTTGACGACTGTAAAAGTGTTTTGGAGCTGTCCTGATTAATATTGATAAATAAAGTGTGTTTCAATACTTCATCAAGTGTCGTCATTATTCACTCCAAATTTACGAACCCCGTACGAACGTAAAGGAAGAAAATAACATAACAATTTGGTGTGAAAAGAAAAAAAAAAAAAAAAAAAAAAACGTTACAATTGGTGTTAGAAAGTGGGATTTGAGGGTGAAAGCCAGTGACAAGATCAGTGGAAGATCTATTAAGACAGCTCATGAGTGCCTTTGCTGAATTTCAAGAAAAAATGGAAGCCAGACAGGAAAAGTTGAAAGCCGGATATGATGAGATAAAAACTGGATGTAAAGAGATAAAAGCTGGATATAAAGAGATGACAGTTGAGATCAAAGCCGGACTAGAAGAGAAGAAAGGCCGACGAAAAGAGATAAATGGCAGCCAAGGAAATGTGCGAGAGCAACTCCAACAGCTGAAAGTGGAGCTTACAGAAGAAACTAGAGGCATAAAAGATGATGTGGAAATGAGAGAACTGGCATCTGAAGAATCAAATGATGAAGAAAAGAAGGAAGTAGCTAATGAATTGTCTGAGAAAGATCAAGAAATTAAGGATGAAACATCTAACGGGATTAAAGAAAAAGAACAAAAACATGAAGAAATAAAAGACGGTAAAAAAACTTTTTATTCTCAAGTGCCTTAAGTGGAGGTGGAAGAAAGTGAAAATGCGAATGTCAAGTTCGTAGAAACTGATAGTGAAGTTATGAAGTCGCAATTAGCGAGTATTGAACCATCTGAAAATGCATGTGATGCAAAGATGAGAGAAGTTGATGTGCAGCTTAAGCAGTGCACTCCGGTATTGCAAGAAAATTCACCCAACTCACAAACTGGGTGTATGCCTCATAGTGCATATTTTGCAGACAAGGACTTGATTCTAAACTCGGATACTTCTGCTTGTAAAGGATCGGATTCTATTCGCGACCCTGGTGCAAATATCAGAGCTGGTTTTCAGGAAAAGCTGGAAAATAAGCGTGTACGTTCTGCTAAAGATATCGAGGTGAAGTATACGCATGCTGCAATGATCTATAGAGTGGTGAACGAACTGTTTTAGATCTTCCAGTGGATAAAAAGTCTGAAAGGACTGAATTTTCAGACTGTGACATGGAAAAACAGAAATGCATCTGAGAACTACAGTGGAAAAGTATTTGACCCGGGTATAAATAATGAAAAGACTGAAATTCATTCTTAACTTTAATTAGTATAATTTAAAATTGTTGTGCGTTTAATTTGTGTATATGGACTTGTACATACTGTAAATATCTGTTTCTTTAGTTATGTTATTTATTTATACCTTATGTTTTGTTTGTATTGAATTAGGCTTCTGACCAAGGGTTGTACTGCCCGGGACGTGCAGTCCTTGAGAGGGGGGCAGGTTTGTGAAATGTACAGGCGCGGTCAGATAGCATCCCCGCAAAGCAGTCTTAGGGTTGCCATAAAACAGCAAAGAGGGCAGGGTTGCCACATTTGGTGAGAAATCGCCTGTTTGGCGACAAAATTGGCAATCTACCATGGACGGTTGAAGAACCTTCTGGAACGAATTCTTACCAGTTTAGCCCAAAATGTTCTTGAACACAGGCCGAAAGCTATATACATCCTGCTGGTCCGCAGTCAGTAAGTGTGTGTCTCTCATCGAGTTAGTTAGTATCGAGTTGGTGTCTTGTCTAGCGAGTCAATCGAGTTGACAGCTGGGCAGCGAGTGCCAAGTGGGTCGTCGAGTGCACCAAAGGAGTCTGTTAGTGTATCGTCGAGAGACTGTGTTGAGCTCTGGGAACGACTGCACCAAAGAGTCGGGAACTGTGCTTGTGTGTCATTAAGTGCATCGCGAGTTGTACGTTGGAGAGTCTCAAGAGTACATGGAGTTCTGAGAATGACCAAGCAGAGTCGGGTGTTCTGCAGGAAGCTGTCTCCACCGTTATTGCCTGACAGTGTGAAGACTGTGTCTCTGATTGTTCCAGCGTGTATATAGTAGATCTTTGACAACTGTAAAAGTGTTTTGGAGCTGTCCTGATTAATATTGATAAATAAAGTGTTTCGATACTTCATCAAGTGTCGTCGTTATTCAATCTCTACCAATCTAATTCCAAATCTACGAACCCTGTACGAACGTAAAAAAAGAAAATAACGTAGCAACTGGTGTCAACGTAACAATATATTAATTTATATATTACAACTATAATATTAATTTACAGAGGCCTTAAAAATTAAATAAATGATTTTGTTTTTATCTTTATTAAACTAATTATGAAAAAAGTATACTACATATATTAAAAAACTTAACTCTGCCATTAATTATATGAATAAAAAATAATTTTAATGCTCACGTGTTTATAAAAGTCCTAACCCAGCCCTTGTTTTCACAATTGTTTGTAGACATACACTTCAAGTTACAAATTTTTTAAATGACACAAGGATTCATGTTTTATTTTAAATTTTTTAAAAATTAATTTTATGTAAAATATTGTACTCATTATAAAAAATAAAGTCATATTCAGGAGCTGTACATAAAATGAAATGTATTTATACATTATATATAATTAAAAATAAAATATCACTTAGATAAAGGTTTATGATATTAAGGAATTACATGATGAGGATTTCTATACAAATTATTTTGAAAAATATTGGTAGATTCCCCCCCCCCAAATGGAGGTCTTTTTTGCAGAATCTAGCAAAATTCATGCTCTAGAAAACACTGGTAGGCTTCAATATTAGCACATAGCCAACTCATAATATTTTCAACTAAACTGAAAAATATTTATACTTCATGAATTTTCGTATGATTGTCAGATTATGATGTTAAAATAGTAAAATTTCATGAGAACAGTAAGAGTTTAAAACTGGAAACTTATAAATTATTTGTGTGAAAATTCTTTTGGCATACCAAATATAATAAAATCATAAATTAACCCTTTTAGTGCCGAGTGAAAGCATCATATCTATGCGAAGAATACTTTGCAAATTTGATGAATTTGTTAAGATTTGGGAAAAAGCTTATAAAAACCAAACTAAGAATATGCTATAAACTATGCTTACAAAATTTAAAAAGTAACATATTACACAATAAAGAAAGAATAAAGTAATGCCAATTGTATTTTAATATTTATTGAAAATCACACAAAAAACATGAATATAAAACATTATGAAGAACACAGAAAAGTTCTTTTTAACAAAAAATATTTGCACATAAGAATATTCATTTCCATCACAGCTTTTTGTAGATCATGCAGTATGAATTATAAATATTTTATTTTCAATCATTTCTAACAAAACTAACATCAGACCTTAGACCTTAAAACTAAAGGATAAAACTATGATGCACACCAAGGATCTGCTATGAAATAAGTGATTTGTGTAGCTAGTATAATGTTACTGAAATAAAATGTTAAAATATTTATATTTAGTTATCTAGCTATTGAA